GTACGTGAGCATGGCCCAAGATGGCCCAATAGAAAAGGGGGCGTCTCTCCAGGGTCTTCAAACAAAGACACCATGAAGCACTTTTAGAGGCTACTGCAGTCCTTATGTAACATCACCTGCACCTCGAAGAGCCTACTGTTTGAGAGTTCTCTATCGTGATTGCCATATATGGAAGAATTACATATGTATATACATATATATATATATACATACATACATGAACGTACATATATCACACATAGTTATACTTATATTGTGACATGCATACGTATATGTATTTAATATGTGCTTATGTATTTGTAGTTGGTTTAAAATTGTATTCGTTCGAAAATGCCTGTTTTTTGGTGCTTCAGGTAGTATTCAGCGGTACAGTATGTAGAGTACTTGCCGGTCCAGGTGGGGTCTCATGCTTCGTCCCCATGGGAAGCACCCTAAACCCTGAACAGCACCCTCAACCCCGAACCCCTAAACCCTTTACGCTGAACTCAAGAAGCCGACAGGCTCCGGATATGCCCCAGCTGCCCTGCCGGATGCGTCTGCAGAGCTGCTTCGAAGCAGCTGTCAGGTTTCAGAAATTACAGTAATTATTCAGTGCGGTTGGTTTGGGTGGAGGGTGTTAAGGTCTCGGGGTTGGGGTTGTGAGAATGTAGAGCCCCCAAACTTCACAAAACCCTATGGCATATGAACGCTTCTAAAGCTCCCTACCCTCAACACACGAACTGTCTGATTCGTTTTGGGCCTTTTGGGTGTCTTGGACTGGTCTCTTCGATACAGCACTGAAGGGGCCGAAGAATTAGTAGTGAGTGGTTTAACAGTATCCCTAATTATGCCGGAGCAACCTTTGATTCAGCTCAGGGGTTATCCGTATGCATGGTTTTATGGTTTTCGGAATTCGCAGGATAGTTTAGTTTTGGGGTGCGCCCCTCTGGATTTTGCATTTCTGCCACGGCATCGCATTGAATTTTTGTGTTTACTGTATGAGCCGGAATAGTGAAGAATTGCAGTTCCCAGTGTTCTCTCTTATATCAGCTTAATGCCGTGGTTCTCCGTTTTGGTGAATTATCGAATCAATACAGCGCAGCCTGCCAGTAGAAACTCACATGTACACATGGGCCGCAGAAATCAAGCTCTCTCTCTCCATATGTCATGTCTCTATACATATGAATATTTATGTATATACATATAATCTACAGACACACACAGAGTTCATTACATGCACTACATACATGCAGATACCACACCTGCGTACCTATGTATGGATGTCCGTCTGTCCAGCTACCTGTCTGTAGTCTTCTTGTAGTAATGTGCGCTTGTTCCACCCTACCCATAGGCTCCATGGTAGTTCCTTTTTGGGGATTACTTTATAGGATTCTATATATGAACCCCAGAAAGGAACTACTTTGGAGCCTCTAGGTACAAGTCTGTAGTCTTCATGTAGCAATGTCCTTTTTCCACCCTACAAGTTACGGCCTTTGCAAGGATTGCTGCCAAGCTTGCGGCACGCGTTTGTCAGTCCTGGAGCCTCGCAAGTCAGGCCAGGGACCTCGAAAAGCCTCGGGCTTCGCACCATAAGGGGTACTAGAAGGGTTGTGGGGTCTAATAATGTAGGAGCCTGATTAAGAAACCTTGGGCCTTTATTAGGGTTCTATAAGGGTTCCATTCAGTAAGTCTGTCTGTTGGGGTTTTGGGGTTTAGGGGGGGCGGGTCCTCATAATTGTAAAGAAAGCACAGTTTACTTACAGTTCTTCAGTCCCCTGTGTTGGGGATTGGGCTTGAGGCTTTGGAGATGTGAGGGTCTTTCGCGCATTGATACGGTTTAGGGCTCTGGGAAATCAAAGTCGGTGTCAAAAAAAGGTTTCGTTGTTAAAGGTATCAAGTTGGGCTTCTGGATTTAGCCTTCGCAGGGCTTAGAACTTGAGGGTGGATGTAGCAACCTGATTAAGAAACCCTGGGCCTGTAACCCCCCCCCCCCCAAAAAAAAAAGGAGGAGTCATAGAAGGGACCCTAAGAAGGCCCAAGGTCTCTCAATCAGGTTCCTACATTATAGACCCCAAAACCCTTATGGTACCCTTATGGTACCCTTTAAAGGAAACCTTATAGAACCCTGATAAAGGCCCAAGGTTTCTTAATCAGTTTCCTACATCAGAAACGCTGCTCCAGCAGCTTCCGGCTGGGTTGCGAGGGGGGAGTTTCCGAAAATTGGGGGTACCTTATTTAGGGCTCCTTATAGTAAGGATCCTACGATTAAGGTTACAATATTAGGGCCCCCTATTTTCGGAAACTCCCAGGGGTCCACACACCAGCAGGAGACTACTTGGAGGATCGTGGGACTTGCGGTTACCAACGAGGTAACTATAGTTACATTCACTTATAACTCCAATTAGGGTACTTGTAACTGTATCGTTACGTTCACTTGAAACTCCAATTAGGGTACTCATAACTGTACTTACTAAGTCCCATGAACCTCCAAGTAGAGGGCTTTCCTGCGCGGAGGTTTCGGGTTGAGGGAGTTCCAGTCTTGGGGCTCAAAGTTTTTAAGACTCAAAGAGTTATAAACACATGGGTAGTTGTCAAAATTAAGGTACCTTTTTGGGTACCCGAAATACTAGGTGCCGTATTATGACAGGGACCCCAAAAGGGAACATAATTTTGACAACCACCCATATCGATGAACGAGCTTTCAGCAATTTTCGGCAGGTCTCGAGTCCTGGATATGCTACGGCTCCCGACTCTTCTTCTTGTTTTTCCACTCTTTGCATTACGTGTTCGGCGCTAGGATCCTCGGTTTCATGGTACTTTTGAAGTTGGCTTTTTGGATGCCTTACTACATGACAGTCCTGGGACTCTCGCTGGGCGCTCGCTCTATACTTCTATTCTTCGGTGCACTCGCAACACTGCTATTTTTGCTTTGCCTGTCCTGCTGCTTTGTTCCTGTGCCCTTTCCTGCTATGTCTGCCAAGCCTTCAACTCTAAAAACCCTTAAACCCACGAGAGACCAGTATCGCTGCAGACCTTGCCAGGCTTTGTCCGAGTGTGAGTGTCAAAAAACCCAAGTGTGAGCGCATAAGCCCTAAAAACCCTAAACCCTTAAACCCTAAACCCTAAACCCTCAAACCCAAGTGTGAGCGCCGAAACCCTAAAACCCTAAACCCTACTCTGCAGCAGGGGAAAATCCCTATGCGTCCTCTTTCCCCACCGGTCTCCAGTCAGGTCCCCTTCGCTGAGTACTACGGTTGATGATATAAATCCTGCATGACCCTCAATGAGGAAGATGCCACAATTCCTATAGTCTAGGGCCATTAAGGTAATGCAGGATTTATATCATCAACCCTAAACCCTAAAACCCCATAAATCCCTTAAAGGAACCCTTAAAGGTACTCTTATAGATCTCTTTAAAGTAACCCCCTGTATTTCTATCATCAACCGGAGGCTCGCTGCTGGGATCGCCTGTGAGGGCCCTGTGTAAAGTTGTTGTCTTCATAATTTGAGAGGGTTTAGGGTTTGTTTCTGCAGGGTTTTTCATCCAAGCCCTTTCAAGAGCCCTCATCGAAAGCAGCTGTAGACAGAATTTCGATCCCTTCCAAGTCCAAGCCTGAACCCTGACAGCCTAATTTCTCTCGACCCTCGCTCTCCCTATAACTATCTTTCTATATATATATATATATATATAATATCTATATATGTGTTTTCTACATATTTATATATAGCTATCCCTATATCTGAATCTGTATCTCTATCTATGCCTATGTCTATATCTATATCTCTGTCATCTGTATCTACATTTATATTCATACCTATGTCTATGTCTATATCTATGTCTTCATCAATATCTATATCTACATATCTTATCTTTATACATACGAAACATTATAGACTATACAGATTTTGTACATATAACATTATATACTATGCGGATATTCGATTTATGCCACATGTTTGAGCCCTAAGCCCTGAAGCCGCCAGTCCCTCGAGGATGGCTCAGAAGCTGCTTCCGCTCAGAAGGATTTGGAGAAGCTCACGACGCAGTCCGACCGGCAGCTTGGAATGTGTATTTAGGATTTTAAGGGTTTAGGGTTTAGAGTTTTGATTTTCATAGGAGGTGTTGTAGAAGGTTTTTGGTTCAACGGGAAAACTTGCGAGAAGGGCTCCACGTACCTATAATATCGCACATACTCCGGCCTGATCAGGCTTCCCGCATACCAGTTTTGTTGCCAAGGTCTCGATTCTATAGGTACCCAGAGTTCCCGGCATCGTTTAGTTGAAGAATAAACCTGAAACCATAAGGCCTGAGTACTACCATTCAGGGTACGTTCCTTAGTTTAGGGGGATGTGGGCTCTCTGGGCAGATTGATGGGCCCTTACAACACGTTCAGAGGATACATGGGCTATGGTTGTGGCTTACCGCGGTTTATGGTTCCAGGCGTAGAGTTATGGCTTCGGATGATGCATGCGGCAGGGATGCATTTGCTGGCGTTCTCATGTTCGTCTCTGGTGATGATTGCACTTTCCTAAGACCGCAAGAGGGCTTTGAAAGGATTCCAGGTTTCAAAGGGGGGGCACCGCCAAGTGCTGTTGGGGATCAGAGGGGATGCCTCTATTCATCCGGCTTTGACCCGAAACCGGTAGCATTTCTGTGTGGCTGAGTCCTTCTTACGTATGTTTCGGGATCAGGCCTCCAGGTATGCTTACTTCAACAGTATGATTCAACTAGACAGCACTACGTTTTTTTGGTACGTCCCAATCAGTGCTAGATGCGGGGGTTGTATTACGACCATAGAGTGAAATGTGTTCTGGTAGTTGGAGGTAGGTTTCAGTTCAGGAATGTTCAGGTGCAGAGTGTGGGTCAAGGGAAAGCCTTTCCTTCTCATGTCTGTCACCCGGCACACATCCATCGCGCAGGACGCTGTGTTGGTTCCTGTAGAATCTCGGCTCAAATAAGTCAAGCCGCCAATCGGGAGCCAAAAGTGCTCCTGCGTGCTTAACAGCACACTGGCCCGATAATGGTAATCAAGGTCAGCGCCATACTTGTCGCTGTCGCCGGCTGCATTTCAGGGGCATGGAGCTCGAATATGCGCCAAGCCTCGAGCGACGATGACCTCGGAAGGACTGTTTTCAGAGTCGGGCGTAAGGTGTCGTCAAAGCTTGCGGTGTATGGGTCCAGGTTTCCATCGGAAAGAGTTCAGGATTCAAATCTTCTGGCTTAAGACGGAAGCTTAGAGTTTGGAGTTTATGCTGATGGATCTTGGTTTTGCTCCAGCAGATTGGAAAAGATAGACCCTTGCGTGCATAATTCTGAGGCCTCCTGCTAGTGCTACTGCGACTGCTTCCCTATTACTGTTGCTACAACTGCAACTGCTACAACTACTACAACTAGAACAACAACAGCTACTACTACGACTACGTACTTTGACGACGACGGCGACGACGGATTCTACTGCCTTTGCTGCTGCTACTGCTACTGCTAGTGCGCTGCTCCTGCTACTGCTACTAGTGCTACTGCGACTCCGAACTATTGCTTCTGCTCCAGCTGCGCGTATCAACACCCAATGTCAATGCCAACAACCACGGCGTCCACTGATTCTGCTGTCCTTCACGTCTTGGCTGTAGCATGGCGAGGATGTTTAGGTTTCCCGGAATGCTTTGCATTTCCTGAATTTGATTCGGGGTGCAACACACCCCTTTTTGGGATTCATCTTTTTTTTTAGAATCCTATAATCGGTCCGATAATGTAGTCCCAAAGAGGAACTGCTATGGGGCCTATGGGCTATCACACCTTCATGCCCAGGCTCCCAAAGTCCTGTCAGCATGGCGGCGACATGTGGCTGGGCAGCAACAACGCCGAAGCAACAGCACTCGAAACGAAACTCTTTCAGTTGACTACTATTTGCTTAAGAGCCCCCAAAAAATAAAATTTATATTCCTTATGGGGGTAATATAGGGATTATTATTTTTTATTTTTTGGGGGTTTCTTAAGCAAATAGTAGTTGATGTTGAGATGCAAAAACTCGGGCCAACACACATTTGATACTCAAGGTAGCCTCAGTGCAGTATGCTCTGTACCTTCACCTTCCGACCCTTCTTCACTTGTGGTCTTCGGCATAGTTACTGGTTCCGGGTATAGAGTGTTGAGTGCTGAGTTTCAATCCGATTGACTGCAGACAGGTGCCGCGCGGACGAAGACGTCAGTGACATCAACGCGCTCTTGCAGCATCAATGGTACCGGCGCGTTCGTCAACGCCGCCGCCGTCGCCGCCCCGGCTTCCACCGCCGCTTCCATCCCCGGCACTACGGAAGGTATTATGGGGTCTCCTGGCCGGATTCTTGGAGTAGGTGCCTGATGAGTTTGTAGCATCAACCTTGCACATGCCTGGCCATTCCTACAGATGCATACCGCAGAAAACGTGTCTCCAATCCTTGTAACCTCATAATTTGCAGGCCTCTCTTCTGCTGTACTGACTTAAGAGACGGGTTAGGACCTAGAATCTTGTACACCCGCAAACAAAGCCATACATCATGGGCACTTACATGTTGTATAGATACGTGCATGCATACATACATGCATCTAGAGATGCACACATGCACACGTACATACATGCGTACATGCATACATGCATAAGTACATAGGTACATACTCATACTTGCATGTACATCCACATGCATATTAGTCATGTCTAGATGTAAATATGTTCAAGCGTTCATACATACATGTATATATTCTACATATAACTAACTCGGTTGTTAGTTAGTCAGCACGACAGTTTTCATTCAGATGGTTAGCTTGCTAGCTAGCTACTTAGTTTGCTGCTAGCTGGTTAGTGTAGTTAGTTAGTTAGTTAGTTGGTTAGTTAACCAGTCACTTCGGTTTTCGGATACTTGGTTGGTTGGTTGGTCGATCAGTTCGCAGTCAGTCCGTCCACCCATCAGTCTGTCAGTCAGCGAGTTACTTAGCCGTGCCGGCATGCCAATGTCTTCATGTACACTCATTGCAAACAAGTTGTATGTGCATCGCACACGTGCCGCTTGATGATGAGACTCTGTGTGCGATCTTCACATGTTTAGGCATATACATGCTTTGGGGGAGAACTAACCTGAGTTTGCAAGAAGGGGATAGCCAATCCCTCAGCTTGAGCAGAGAGAAGAGAGAATTTGTCAGAAGAGCTGGGGCCTTGAAGCCACGACCCCATGGTACGGTTGATGATATCAATCCTGCATTACCTTAAGGACCCTAAAGTATGGGAATTATGGTATATTCCCTATTATGCGTATTGCAGGATTGCTATCATCAACCGTAGTTCAGAGCTTCGGTCTCTTGGAGCTCAGCGTTTCGAGGCCTCGAGCTTTACAGCGTAGAGGCTTATGGTTCGGTGCCTGTTGCGGCGCGTACCTAAATCTTTGACAAGGTTTATAGGTGTTGGTCCACGGTGGAGACATGCGCGTAGAATGCCTGGAAACGCGAAACTCGAAGTCGTGTATCATTTAAGCGAAGCAGCCATGGCAACAATCGGAAGCGCTGAAGCCTCAGTCAGCAGCTTCTACCGCAAAGGACACGTCATCTTCAACCAATCCTACCCTGCGAACCTGACCCTCAACTGAGAGAAATGATTCAACCCTTTGTTGGGGGTCGGTGGGCCCTGGCCTAGAGGTGCGTTATCTACAATGACGGAGCCGCGTTTATGTTCAGAAGTCTCATTCGCTTACGGCTTTCGTTCGGCACAGCCGTACATATATGCGTATATGTGCGAGTACGCAAACATGTCTATATGCAAAGAGCCAGCGATCAAATTTTAAGACGTAGCGCTATCGACTGTTGCAATGACGTCCAGGCCCCGACTACGACTACATCCACGACGACCCCATCCGCGTCGTGCGGCGATGAGTTCCCGGACATGATCATCACGGGTGTCATCGATGGTCCTCTGCCGGGGGGGGAGCCCAAAGCCATGGAGTTGTACGTCGCCAGAGACATTCCGGACTTGACGATCTGGGGGTTGGAACTGGCAAGTAACGGAGCCAATTCAACCGGCAGTCCTAGCTTCACTTTCCCATCTGGCGCAGCCACAGCAGGAGACTTCATCTACGTCTCTTTTGAGACCACGAACTTCAATGCGTTCTTCGGTTTCGACCCCAACTACACGAACAGTGTCCTCAACGTCAACGGTAACGATGCGCTCTTGCTGTACGAGTCCAACATTGCCGTCGACTTCTTCGGGCAAGCAGGTCAGGATGGGATTGGACAGCCTTGGGCGTACATGGATTCCTGGGGGTACCGAAAGTCCGTGGTCCCCAGTGGCTCGGGTTTTCAGGTGGCGGACTGGACATTTCCGGGCATAAACGCGCTGGATGGTGAAACCAACAATGCCAATGCAACGACGCCGTTCCCTCTTCAGACATTTGCGTGCCCTGGTCCATCCACCACAGCTGCTCAGCGAGATTGCTGTGGTTTCTTTGGTATGTGCCTGAACTCATTCGCGCCTCCTTTCTGCTCACGGACAGAATTTGGAGTAGCAATCAACACGTTCAGGGCACCTGAGACGTCGCAGCAGAAACGGCAGAAACTTCGAAAAGTTCTGATATGCAGCAAGAGCACCGCAGCCTGATCACACAAGCTGCAACAACAACAACAATGATGATGACCACCACCACCACCACCACCACCACCACCACCACCACCACCACCACCACCACCACCACCACCACCACAAGCAGTACAAGTACCACCACCGCCACCGCCACGACCACAACCGCAGCAGCAGCAAGAACAACAACAACAACAACAACAACAACAACAACATCACCAGCAACAACAACCGCAGCAACATCAACAGCAACCAAGAGCAACAGCGACAGGAGCAGCAGCAGAAGCAGCGGCGGCAGCCGCCGCAACAGCAACTGCAACAGCAACTGCATCATGAGGCTCGTCATCATCATCACCACCGTCGCTGTCACCGTCACCATGACCACCGCCGTCACCAACAACAACCAACAGCAACCCCAACAGCAGCAACACCTCAACAACAACCAACAGCAACAGCAGCAGCAGCAGCAGCACCAGCCCCAGCACCAGCACCAGCACCAGCACAGCACCAGCACAGCACCAGCACAGCACCGGCACCACCGGCACCACCGGCACCACCGGCACCACCAGCACCAACACGAGCACCAACGCTAGCACCAGCACCAGCACCAGCACCAGCACCAGCAGCAGCGGCAGCAAGAGCTGCAGCAGCAACATCAGCAACAACGACAGCAACACCAGAAGCCAGCTAGCAGTCATGCCAAAACCTAAACTTCGCAGCTGCTAGTTGCAATCCATAACTTGGCTATGGCGTGTTTTTCGTGCACACCCGCATACCCGAGACCTTAGAAGTACGGTCGGGAGCCCATGCTAGAACAACAACAAAGACGTCACATCTTTGAAGTGCAAGTCTGCGGTCCAAAGTGGTTGCTGCGTTCAGGAGAAAGGACGTGACACTTTGGGTCGATATGGATATGGGGGCCATCTTTGATGTTCGGGTGTGGGGTGATCGTCAGGGTCAGCTCGACTAGTTTTGGAGTACCAGGTTCAAACTACGTCCACGACAACCGTGGCAGGGATCTGTGGCGATGAGTTCCCGGACATGATCATCACGGGTGTCATCGATGGTCCTCTGTCAGGGGGTACTCCTAAGGCCATGGAGTTGTACGTCGCCAGAAACATTGCGGACTTGAGCGACTGGGAGTTGCAAGTGGCATTCAATGGCAATCCACCCAGCACTACGTTTACATTCCCTGCCGATTCCGCCACAGCAGGAGACTTCATCTACGTCTCTTTCGAGACAACGAACTTCAATGCCTTCTTTGGTTTCGGCCCCAACTTCACCAGTGGTGTCCTCAATGTCAACGGTAACGACGCGTTCCTTCTCAAACGGCTTGGCATCTCGGTTGACTTCTTCGGGCAAGTGGGTCAGGATGGGACTGGACAGCCTTGGGAATACCTAGACTCCTGGGGCTACCGAAAGTCCGTGGTCCCCAGTGGCACGGGGTTTCAAGTGGCCGACTGGACCTTTCCAGGCATAAACGCTCTTGACGGAGAAACCACCAACGCTAATGCAGCTACACCATTCCCTCTGCAGACATTTACTTGTCCGCCTTCGTTGCCTACCACGACAAGCACGACTCTAAGTGCGACCCAGCGCTGTCCGGGTGGTCAGATGTGCTCCTCGCTTCTGGACATGATCATCTCGGGCGTCATCGATGGTCCTCTCTCAGGGGGTACCCCCAAGGCCATGGAGTTGTTCGTTGTAAACGACATTCCGGACTTGAGCAACTGGGGACTACAAGTGGCATTCAATGGCAATCCACCCAGCACTACCTTTACGTTCCCTAGCGATTCCGCCACAGCAGGAGACTTCATCTACGTCTCTTTCGAGACAACGAACTTCAATGCCTTCTTCGGCTTCGACCCTGACTACACCAGCGGAGTCCTCAATGTCAACGGTAACGATGCGCTCCTTCTCCAAGAGTTTGGCGTCTCGGTTGACTTCTTCGGGCAAGTGGGTCAGGATGGGACTGGGCAGCCTTGGGAATACCTAGACTCCTGGGGGTACCGAACGTTCTACAGCGGCGTAGCATCCTTCAATGTGAGCGACTGGAACTTTCCTGGTCCAAACGTGCTGGATGGCGCAAGCACCAATGCTGATGCAACCTGGCTATTTTCTGCATGGCGTGTAAGTTTCTTTACAAAACTTCCTTGCTCTACATCTGACTCTAACCAGAGGCTCCATAGTAGTTCCTTTTTGGGATTACCTCATTAGATTCTACATATGAACCCCCAAAAGGAACTACTATGGAGCCTCTGACTCTATCTGCTGGGTTTACCTAGCCTTCCGATTAGAGAGTTTCCGAAAATAGGGGACCTTAATATAGCACTGCAAATAATAGGACCCTTATAATAAGGACCCCCAAATAAAGTACCCCTAATTTCCGGAAACTCCGATTAGGGTCTCTTAGCTTTCCGATTACCCAGAGGCTCCATAGTAGTTCCTTTTTGTGGTTCATATATAGAATCTAATAGGGTAATCCCAAAAAGGAACTACTATGGAGCCTCTGGGTAGGGTCCACATTGTGGGGTCGCTCGTGCTCTGAAAACTCCGACATTACTCGGTTTGCACACATAATACTAAGTAAGGGCATTTAGGTTTTAGGGTCATAATACTAAGTAAGTAAGGGCGCTTAGGGGTTTCGAGTTTAGTAAGTGGTATTGCGGAACTTCATGTTTCTGAAGGGTGAGTTCAGAAGTCAGCCAAGGCAAGCACGCCATTCCCAGTGGCGAGCTTTTGCTGTAATTAGCGGCGTGCTTTGAAGGAAAGTCGCACAGGTCTATACCCCAAAACCCTGTGTAGAAGAATATGACAATCTATCCCAGACCCTTATTCCATGTCCGAAAGCCCTCATTGATAGGAGTTTCCAGGAATGGGGTAGAAGCAGCTCAAAGCAGCCAATTCGGGGAGCAGCCTGTGCCAAGAGAACCTATGAGCAAATGAAAGGATTTAGGGTTTTGGAGTGTAGGCTCTGGGAAGTCTACTTGGAGGTTCAGGGGTAGTTACAAGTGGGGCTATAAGTCCCTTGATATGGGTTACAAGTATAGTTACCCTACTTAGAACCCCACTAGAAACTACCCATGAACCTCCAAGTAGGACGGGCCTTCAGACTTGGGGGGTGATACTGCGTGTATATTCATTCTTGTCATTGGCTCTTAGGGTTGCGGCTTATTATTAGGGTTGGAGGCGGATGGTTTGTAGCTCGGGTTGCGCTGGGACTCGGGATGAACGTGCTCGATGTTTGCACGAGACTGTAGTTGAAATGTACATGAGGTTTAGGCCTACAGGCTGGGGGGGTCCATGGGGCTTAGGCTTCGATCGGTTGGGTGAGGGGTGAGGCATTCATGAGAGCTTCTTCGGCCTTGGCTTTGTTTTGAGTTCCCCAGTAGCCGCTTGGAAGTGTAGGGGAATTTTCATAAATAGTCACACAACCCTATACAAATGCTGTAGTACCCTTCCACTAAAGACTTTTTTTTGAAGCTTCGCCGGAAACCTCCAGTTCCATACCCAGAGCAGGGAACTCGCTTGAATCCCGGTGGTGCGACATTGCTTACCTTTGGTTAGTAGGGAATGGAGGAATGGGGTACAATTATGGCTACTATTACTACCATTCTTCCATTCCCTACTAACCAAAGGTAAGTTACAGGATTATTAAGGTTCCTATATTATCGCACCCTTAAAGAGATCCCTTGTAGTAACCCTTATAGACCCCTTTATAAGGCCCCTTCAATGGCGGGAGGCAACAAAACCCAGAGCAGCGAGTTCCTCAAGCATGCTTCCCGAGCCATGGGATGGCACAGCTTTACCCATAGGCCCCATAGCAGTTCCTTTTGGGGGTTCATATTTCGAGTTCTATAAGGTAATCCCAAAAAGGAACTACTGTGGGGCCTGTGGGTAGTGCGATAATGGGGATCTCCCGCCTTAAACCCTACCTTAACCCGGAATAACCTACCTTTTTCAGGACTTAGATAAGGAAGTCATAAGAAGGAACCCCAAAAAGGTAGGCTATTCAGGGTTCAGGTGAGCCCTAAACCCCTATACTACAGAACCCTTATAGATCCCTTATAGAATCCTTTAAGGAACCCTTTAAACCCTAAACCCTAAACCCTAATCCCTCAACCCTAAACCCTAAACCCTAATCCCTAAACCCTAAACCCTAATCCCTAAACCCTAAACCCCAAAAGGTAGAAGCCCTACACCATGAAGGGAAGCCCTCAGCCCCAATGTTGACATTCGCCCAAGCAATGTGGGAGTTTCCGAACATTAGGGGTACCTTTATTTTGGGGTCCTTATACCTTATTTTGGGGTCCTTATACTCTTTTTTTTGGGATCCTTATACCTGATTTTGTGGTCCTTATACCTTTTTTGGGGGGTCCTTATAATAAGGATCCTATTCTTTAGGGTACTATATTAGGGTCCCCGATTTGCGGAAACTCCCATGTAGGACCCTGATTACCCCTTTCTTCCCGCAGGGCCCTTTAAAGTGGGATCGATATTTAGTCAGTTATCTCTTCTGGCCCCAAACCCTTAAACCCGTCTGAAAAAGCTAAACCCTAAACCCCTAAAGCCTATTTGTTTAGCCAGCTCCTTCTTCTGGAAGCAGGGGTGATCAACCCTAAACCCTAAACTACCCAGAGGCTCCATAGTAATTCCTTTTTGGGATTACCTTATTAGGTTCTATATATGAACCCCAAAAAGGAACTACTATGGAGCCTCTGGGTAAACCGTAAGCAAACTGGCATCCCGGCACGTCGTTCAGGGTCGAGGCCTTGGGTTTGTTTGAAAAGTCATGGAGTGCAAAATGCGTTTAGATCGTACCCTGGGGATCTAAGGACTGATATATTCGGGCTTTTCGGCCCTAAGACCATACTATATAAGGCTGTCGCGCTATTTTGATCCCTAGGGGTAAACGGATTATGTGCCCCAAGTTGGGTCATCCTCCTCATCCGCAGCCAGATCCTGACCTAGTGGATGTAAACCCCCTGAGCATCGAAATAGCGGGGGCCTGGAGGCGAACTCCCGAACGCATGTCCAACCCTTCTTAGGTCGATCGCATCCTGGCGCCCGCTCTTGCAGAATCTGATGTCGGCGTCTTGCACGAAGCCCAAAACCGCTGGAAACCTCACTAAACCCTAAGCTCCAACTCTGGAAACCTTTATAAACCCGAACCCCGAGCCCAAAGCCCTAAAAACCTTGAAACACAGTCTGCACCCGCGAGGGGTTGAATCGGGTCGGGGCTCTGCTTGGAGGCTTTGGGGGCCTAGCTAAACCCTAAACCCCTAAACCCCTAAACCCTAAACCCTAAACCCCTAAACCCTAAATCCTCTCTTTCATATGTATATTTAAACCCTGTAAGGGATTTTGGCCTTTTCGGGCCCAACCCTGTAGCCGATTTTGGCCTTTTCGAGCAACCCTGTCGGGGATTTTGGCCTTTTCCGACCAACCCTGTCGGGGATTTTGGCCTTTTCTGACCAATCCTGTAGCCGATTTTGGCCTTTTCCGACCAACCCTGTAGCCGATTTTGGCCTTTTCGACCAACCCTGTAGGGATTTTGGCCTTTTCGACCAACCCTGTAGGGGATTTTGGCCTTTTCTGACCAACCCTGTAGGGGATTTTGGCCTTTTCCGACCAACCCTGTAGCCGATTTTGGCCTTTTCGACCAACCCTGTAGGCGATTTTGGCCTTTTCGACCAACCCTGTAGGGGATTTTGGCCTTTTCCGACCAACCCTGTAGGGGATTTTGGCCTTTTCCGACCAACCCTGTCGAGGATTTTGGCCTTTTCGACCAACCCTGTAGGCGATTTTGGCCTTTTCGACCAACCCTGTAGGGGATTTTGGCCTTTTCGACCAACCCTGTAGGGGATTTTGGCCTTTTCCGACCAACCCTGTCGAGGATTTTGGCCTTTTCGACCAACCCTGTAGGCGATTTTGGCCTTTTCGACCAACCCTGTAGGGGATTTTGGCCTTTTCGACCAACCCTGTAGGGGATTTTGGCCTTTTCCGACCAACCCTGTCGAGGATTTTGGCCTTTTCGACCAACCCTGTAGGCGATTTTGGCCTTTTCGACCAACCCTGTAGGGGATTTTGGCCTTTTCGACCAACCCTGTCGGGGATTTTCGACCAACCCTGTAGGCGATTTTGGCCTTTTCTTTGCTTTACTTAACACCGGAACGAACAACGGTGATGAGGAGTACAAGCTGTGAAAAAAAAATACTCTGTATTTTCTTAATGTTAGGGGATTCTTTGGGCGGGTGGGTTTTTGTCTAAGAATGTAAGCTTGACTAGAAACTGCTCGACCCAGAGCTGCTGAACCCCTAAACCCTAAACCCTGAACCGTGGTTCAAGGTCCTTGAAAAGGATCCTGGATGGGTACTTGGAGCTTCATGGGTAAAGTCCCCCCTAATATGAGATATAAGTAGAGTTACCATACTTATATCCCTACTTCTAGCTACCCATGAACCTCCAAGTACCCTATGACTTCAGTGTTTCAGGCTCCTTTACTTAAGACGCCTTGGTACTTGAGATCTATGCGCGGGGTCTCTTCTTCCTTTCCTTTGTCCCGTCGTGCCTTTGCCTATGCCATCTTTTCACGGCCTCCTCCTGCAAACTGAATAACACCTTAACCTTACTTGGTGTGCAGTTATTTCAAAACTTCACTATTCCTGTGGACTTCTTCTATACCCCTTAGAACCATAATAAAAAATACTAATATTCTGTTGGGGTTTATATGAACAAAAATCAGGAAAACTAGTTCCTAAGGAGACTATGCTGCACCCTAAACCATGGAGCAACCCTAGGGGGAATAACCTACCTTTTTAGGGCCACTTATTATGATTTCCTTATATAAGTCCTCAACGATGTAGGTTATTCCGGGTTAAGGTAGGGTTTAAGGCGGGAGATCCCCATTATCGCACTACCCACAGGCCCCATAGTAGTTCCTTTTTGGGATTACATTATAGAACTCGAAAGTTATTCCGGGTTAAGGTAAACCATTCAGCAACCCTTAGGCCTTCAGAGCTTCGGGTTTGGTGTCTAGGTGGCGCTCCCGGGTTCTAGTTCTAGTGGACCTTTGACCTAAGCGCAACATCGACCACTATGGTCTATTAGACCTTATGGGTACCTTAATCTACCCTTAATAGGGTCCTAATAGGGATCCTTATAAGGTCTAATAGCCCATAGTGGGAACCTCATTTGAAGGACCAGGGTTCGGGCTCCGGGTTTAAGGAATCTTTTGAGGGGTTCATGGGGTTTAGTGGATGAGCCGGTATTACCCAATATATACTCGTACCCTATGTTGGAGTGCACGGTCGTAAACTGCGACTGTACTTGCCACCGGGTGCCTACTACTTTGTGTAGGCTCGTATTCCAAACTCCCTTATGCCGAGTAAGCGCTGGAGGAAGAGCCCCGACCGTCCAAGTCAAGGGCGAAGCTGCAACAAAAAGTCGTCGTAGGAGTAGTAGCAGTAGTAGCAGTAGCAGTAGCAGTAGCAGTAGCAGTAGCAGTAGCAGCAGCAGTAGCAGTAGCAGTAGTAGTAGTAGTAGTAGTAGTAGTAGTAGTAGTAGTAGAAGTAGTAGTAGTGGGAGTAAATAGTAGTAGGAGGCGGAGTATATAATTAGGCCCAAACACGGTTGTCAGGACACCGGCACCTGTCCAGAACTGCACCTATGCACAAATGCTAACATCAACCCAGCGTTAACACATGTGGGTGGTTGTCAAAATTATGGTCCCTGTTTGGGTACCCTAAAAGG